GTTGAGGCAAAACTGGATCATGGTCAATGAAACTTGCTTGTATAAATTAACAAATGGTCTAAATTTGATATATCATGGGATCCATATATTTGATCCTCATCATTGGACTTATGAAACCCAAAAAGCTTAAAACTTTTCTCTAATAAACTTTCTCTCCTACCCTCAGCTTTTCCTAATTTTTCTATTCTAATGCAAAGGCTGGGCCTGCTGTGGTGGAGAACTCCCTTGCATCTTATTACCTTGTGTTCACACTAGAGGTACACCGAAATGAAATGGTCAGAATGAAAGTGAAAAATCAAAAACTTGCAAAGCAGAACATTTTCTAACCTTTTTTTTTCACTTTATGGTCGGGGACTCTGGGGAAATATTATTAATCTAACAGGCACTAATATTTCCCTTTTTAAATAGAAAAAGATTTAGGGGACAGTCCTCAATCTCAGTACAGCAGCTTCCTATTCATTTATAACAGGGCCAGCAGAAAGAGTGCTCCTGTCCATTCATAAATTGTGGATATAGTATAAGTTACTAAATCCATAATCATGAATTAACAGGAAGTGGTGTAGAGCACTTCCTGTTCATTCATAATTGGAGACACAGTAAACATACTATGTCCTCAATTATTTTCAAGCACGCATCTATCAGCTGAGCGCTTGTACTCCGCTCTCCATCCTTGCTGGCTGTCACAGAGGGCTGAGAAGGCAGTGTCGGGAGAAGAACTTGACCTCCGGTGACATGGCTGACAGCTGACTCCTCCCACACACCGCTCTCCACCCTGATCTGCCTGTCGGAGGAGGCCAAGCAGGGCAATGCAGGAAGAGAGATCAGCCTCTTGTGACAGTTTCTCACCTCCCCTCTAGATGCTGCCATGTCAAAGTGGACACAGAGCAGCACCCAGTAGAGTAAAAACTAGAGATGCACCGCAATTTCAGCCCAAAACAATTGTACTTTCCTTATTTTGCCAGAATACCAGTTTCGGCAGATGTGTCGCTGGATGAAATTTCAGTGCATCCCTTGGTCATACCTATTAAAGGTTAAATGGCCAGGTAAATGTTTAGCTACTTGAAGAGAACCCATGAGAGACCCTAGTGCACGTGTCAAACGCCAGGCCCAGGGGCCAGATCTAGCCCATTTCCTAGACTTCTACTTTCAGATCACGGTATTAAGTTATAATGAAAACCAGTGATAATCAAATGCAGAGGCAATGATAAAGCTTAGATACATTTATATATAGTCTTACAGATACCTTTGAGGGCAACCATAATTGATTAACTTGAGTTTGACACCTGTCCTAGTGGAACAAAAGGATACACTGCTTGTTAACCACAAGTGGACCATGTACCTTGAAAACATATATGTGATGATGAAAGTGATAAAAAAACTGTCAAGAAGTTGTATTAATATTTGTTTAGATCTTTAGCCATGCATTTACCTCTCTAAGCTTCCACTGCCTTTCCCATGATGTGCACAATAGGCAATATTCTATAGAACATAAACTTAATACTTCCATTTTTAATAATTCAAGATACACATTCAATATCAAATATAACTAGAGAAATAATTTTAACACTCCAAAAAAACAAAACATTTTAATGCAAGACAGATTTTTTTTTTTTACACAATATTAGAGTAAAAAAGCAACAGTAAGGTTCCAAATATCAGGCCCTTTAGCCAAAATGCTTCAACTGCTGCCTTTCACAGACGTAGATCATTGAGCCTTTCCACAAGTCACAATATACATGAAGGCAATATGTCCATTATTGTCGGTTAGTAAAGGAAACTCCAAGTACTAAAGTGGTCTATTAGGTGGAAAGAAAAGAAAAAAAAAGGTGAAATCAAACGGTTGAAATGAAGTAGTGATAAAGAGCCTAAATAATGGGTGAGAATAGAATATAAAGTTCATGCCAATGTGAAGAGTTTCAAGAGAATTACACAAGTGGTACACATGTGATTCCACTAGCATGTAACAGGACTAGCTTTACATAAGTTGTGCTCACATCCCAGTTGAACATCGAGTTTTGGGACTAGGTAAGCAGCATAACCTATTGTGATTCAAAGAAAGAAAGAAAAAAAAAAAGGTATCTAGATGTTAAAAGATGTCCCAAATGCCAAAAACACCCACCCAGCATGAGGTTATGTCCCACTTATCATACAAGTCTGAAAATACTATAAAGCAAAGGCATTATAGTAGATTGAAATTCAATTTGTGTACACTCCATAACATTTTTTTTTATTGACGTTCCTTGAGGGACAGAATTGAAACTGGGTTATACTGCCAACAACAGTAGTATTCAGACATTAGCAAAACAAACCCAGTGACTTACCTGATATAACCCCTCCCACTCCTAGCATGCCTTATTTTAGTAAACAAAGCAGTAATGAGAAGAAAAAAATATTAACAGAGGTGGGGCATGTAGCTCTGAATGAACACCTAGAAAAGGATTTTACAGCGAGTACTGAAATCCAGTTGTCTCTGAATCCCTCATTGAGAGACAAGGGGATGCCCAAAAGCAAAAAGAGTGGGGTGGCTACAAATTAGACTTACACTACAGGCTTAAAATACATCAAAACAATATAGGGAGATCTGCTGTACTAGAGCTGGATAGAGGCACAATGTCCAGCTTGAGGTGAAAGGCCAAATCCATGCTAGGGAGGGAGACTTTAGGCCTTAATACCACCTTGTATAAGACAAGAAAGCCTTCCTCATAGGTTCTATCATTGTAGGTTCTATCATTGTAGGAATCGGTGCTTTGGAAAGATCTGGGCTTCAAGAGCCATGCCATTAAAGTCAGTGAACGTGAAGCAGGATGGTAAACCTGTGCTTGGGACAGAAGATCTGGATGATCTTAAAGAACCCACAGAATGTCTGCAAAGAGTCTGACCAGGTTGAAGTACATTCTCCAGAGCAAATCCTGTCTTATGAGGATCACCAGAATGCTGTCCATCGAACCTTAGAAGCAGATAAGAGCCTTTCATGGTAGGAAATGCATAGATCAGGTTGTACCAATCTCACTGAGCCACTAGAGTATCCCTACACACCTGTGACACTGGTTTTGGGAACACTTCTGGGTTTACAGCACATTTCTCCAGATCCAAGCTCTGGCATGTAAGAATGTCTGCCTGCCAATTGTCTACACTTGGGTGGGAAATGAAGTCAAGGCCAGAATGTGAAGGTATACCCAGGACACACATTTCTACATTTGCCATGGCAAGACTTCATTTCTCTCTGATGGATGATCTATTCCACTGCCATGCAACTGCATTTCTATCAGATGACCCTCCTGTTGGGATATCTAGCGTCGTAGGGACAAATTGCCCAAAGCTGCAGAATACTGGTTGGCAGATGAAATTACCCCAGCGTCTATGGATCACCATCATACATGATACAATCTGACCATTATCTGTGCAATCAATTTTGGATTTACCAAAACTATGTAATATGAGGATTGACCTAAGATATCCAATCAATTTATATCCAGTCAGGCAGGCCCTTGCACTACATGCTTATTGGTATATTTAATGGGGATTGTACAAATTGTAAGGTGTGTGGTAAACTTTTGTCTCGCAATCGATCACTAAACCTCCCTCTTCATTCTGGGGCAGGAGGTGCATTGCAGTCAATGGCACCGCAGCCATACCACATACAGTGCGATTGGACGTGTGGCAAAACATTGCATGTGTTCCGTTCTACTGCAAATGCCAAACAATGCAGCATGCTCTATTTTTGCGTTGGACCGGAACGCACACAATGTTTTGCCATGTGTCCACACTGCAAGCTCGGGTGTGGGCGAGGAGCCACGCCACCTCCCGCCCCAGAACGAATTAGGAAGTTTAGCATGCAATTGCTACCACTCTGGAACGCAGTGCAATTGGTGTGAACAAGCCCTTAGACTTTTCCCCAGTTTGACAAGCTAGCATGCATTGATCAGAAAAAAAAGATTTCTCCAACTCATGGATTGGATTCCTGAGCCACCAGGACACTGATTCACCTGTCGCAAAGGATCAGGTTATCTGTTTGTCCAAAGACAACCGACCGACAACCCACGACAGGATGTTCCGTTAGTGGTCTGGAGTGGAACTGGGTCTTCCACAAAGGAGGCTACCATAAGTCCCAGAAACTGCATGCACCAACAAGTGGTCTGGAGTGGAACTGGGTCTTCCACAAAGGAGGCTACCATAAGTCCCAGAAACTGCATGCACCAACAGTCAGTTGACCCCCCCCTGGACATAAGAGTTCAAGCCTGGGAGCGGAGAGCATTTTTGCCATCGCACTGGACCAGAAAGCAGGCAATGTTTTGCCACACGTCAGATCGCACTGCGGGTGGGGGCAGCCATGCCTTTGACTTCAATGCACCGCCACATCCCCTCCCACCCCAGAACAAAGGGAGGAGTTTAGAGTGCAAATGCAGTGCATTCCAGCAGTTACTACTCTGGAACGCACTGCAATTGGTGTGAAGTGGCCCTGAATGTTCTAATCAACAAAGTAGCTCCCAGTCAAAAAAAAAAAGTCTTCGGAGATTGGGTTACAGCCCTGGACTTGGAAAGCACTCCACATCTAACAGTACATAAAAGTCTAGAGAATTCTTATAGCAGAAACCAGTTCCAAAGGTCACATTTCAGTCAAGCCCCATAAACATCAGAGTATGGCCTCAAACTATTTCTGAAGATACACTGATCCAGACAGCTGCATAAAGAGACTAACTCAAGCAGTTAGTAGATGGAGAAAAAAGCGAAGAAAAATGTATTTAAAACAGTTAAACTATTTTCAGTAGAGAAAAGTTATCCATCCTCCTAAGACCAGAAAAAAATTAAGGCATGCTGGGAGTGGGAAGAGTTGTACCAGACTGGTCGGTCTGTTTGCCAGTGTTCAAATCCTCCTATGGATTACAGTATAACCCAATTGTCTTGGAATCTGGTGTCCCTCAATGAAGAAAAGGTATTTTTATTTTCTATGCACTGGGAGGAACTGTATTCCCTGTGGAAAAAGATATGCTCTATTAAAAAGAAAAGGCAAAGGTCTGCTTGGTCGACAAATTAACTTGTCGTGCTTAGTTTTGGGGAGGTGGTGGTGGTGGAGCAGGGGGCATAGAAAATGGGGGTATACCTGGAACCCCCATACCCATCATTGTTACAAAGTTAGAAGGATCAATTGGAGGTGGGGGTGGAGGTGGTGGGGCATAGAGAAGGCCAGATGTTCCTGGAGGAGGAGGAGGTGGTGGTGGAGGAGCACTAGGTGGAAGTGGAGGTTGAACACCCGGAGGAGGCGGCACCAAGGAAGCATTCGTCTGCATGGATGTGCCTGATGAAGCAGTGGCTCCTCCTTGCTGCTGCCATGGAGGAAGAGAGGCAGATGTGTTTTGTGAGGCTGAAATGAAATGCAAAATATCAAAATAAGAGAAAGAACACACGCTTGCTGTAAAGAGAAATTAACTGAAAGAAAAATGGCATTTAAAAAAAAAGAACAGTTCATACTCACTTTGCTGCCAAGAAAGGGGTGCAGTTTGCTGTAGAGGGGCAGCTGTTGCTTGTTGCTGCCAGGGAGGCAAATTAGGGGCTGACGGTGGTGGTGGTGCTGGGCCAGTAGGTGGTGGTGGTGGTGGAGGTGGCATTAAGCCCATGGGGTGAGAATGCAAGAGACCTGCAATTATGAAAAATACCAAGTGTAATTGCAGACATAATCAAATAGAAAATGTATCAACTGTCTTACCCATGGGATGGGGACCAGGTGGATGGGCTCCAGGATGTGGCTGCATCCAGTGAGGATGAGGACCAGCAGGACTATGCTGCATGGGTGGGCCGTTTCCTGCTCCTCCCATAGGACCAGGGAAAGAGTGAGGCGCACCATGCAAAGCCGGATATGGCCTATCCGTGGCCATCCAGGGAGGACGATTCTGTAAGAAAACAAATAAAACATGCTATTAAAAATACAGTAAACTAATTCTGTTACAAATGTGTTTCACTGCTGCTCACAGGAGACTAGACAATGGGAAACCAAGCTGTTAGCCAGACAATGGGAAACCAAGCTGTTAGCCAGGTATAAGCCAAGCCCTTCCACTTTCATCACATTTCCATTTTTTTTAGGAAAGCATTAGCAGGAGTGGACCATAAGGGTGTGGTGAAACCTGTGTCCCTACATAAACTTAGTAAAAAATCCTCACACTTTATGCAGTGCCGTGCTATTGCCTCTCAAAATTAAACGCTAAAGTGATAAACCAAATACCCTATATTATAACACAATATTCATATACATCATATAAATTATTGTGAGCACATGTAGAGCTGTTACTTTTGAGGATTTACGTGTGGTTTGCCAAGAATGATATTAACCAACTGTTAGTTCTTATTCTTGATGGTGATATATAAAATGATCTTTGATATCCTGTTATTCTCTAATTTTGCCAATTTTTATATTTATTTTCAATTTAATTTTTTTATGGTATAAACCTTTTAATTGTTTTAGTAAAGTGTGCTATAGGAATAGGTTTTTGTTAATGTGAATAGGAGGTTGAGATCATGATGCAAAAATTGCAATTATGTGTTTTGAGAGAGTTGTTTACAGCGCCATCATGGTTACGAGCGAACATTTGAGGCTCCAGCTCCGTTCCTCTCCCAAACCCCTGACAAAGTCACGCGTTGACAAAACACACCTAGGGTGGAGCAGAGGAACAGAGCGTACAGTCACAAGAAAGTGGGTTGAGCGATAGTGGAAAAACTTGAACCTACTTTTTAATGGATGCTGTGATCTTGGGAGTATATTCGAATAAATTTTTTGCAAATCATTTGACGGCGTGCACTATGGTCTACCTTATGTTCTCTCAATGAGCTGTATATGAGGGATGGAACAAGTGAAACCAAACCATAACAAGTGAATAGGAAGAGCCCAGTGGATTTTAATATTAAGCAATAGAGGAAAACGTGTTTTTAGACCTAATAGGTCCAGTGAGTGAGGCGAGTGGCCCTCTTGGCAAGTATGTCGTCATGAGGAGAGGTAGAGAGAAGTAGTCTATGTGAAGGAGTGGTGAAAACCTCATACCATTTGAAGCGTTTTGAGTAACTTCTTTTGGGAGAAATAACTTTTGAGACTGTTACACTGAATTGTATATTCACTAATTTGGACGAGTGAAACTATATTGCCAAAAGAATTGGGACACCTGCCTTTACACACACATGAACTTTAATGGCATCCCAGTCTTAGTCCATCGGGTTCAATATTGAGTTGGCCCACCCGTTGTAGCTATAACAGCCTCAACTCTTCGGGGAAGGCTGTCCACAAGCTTTAGGAATGTGTCTATTTGAATGTTTGGCCATTCTTCCAGAAGTGCATTTGTGAGGTCAGGTACTGATGTTGGATGAGAAGCCCTGGCTCGCATTCTCCGCCCTCATTCAACCTAAAGGTGTTCCATCGGTTTGAGCTCAGGATTTTGTGCAGGCCAGTCAAGTTCCTTCACCCCAAACTGTTCCCACAAAGGCGGGAGTGTGGAATTGTCCAAAATGTCTTGGTATGCCGATGCCTTAAGAGTTCCCTTCATTGGAACTAAGGGGCCAAGCCTAAACCCTGAAAAACAACCCCACACCATAATGCCACCCTCCCCCAAACTTTACACTTGACACAATGCAGTCAGGCAAGCACCGTTCTCTGGCAACCGACAAACCCAGACACATCCATCGGATTGCCAGACAGAGAAGCTTGATTTGTCATTCCAGAGAACACGTCTCCACTCGAATCCAGTGGCGACGTGCTTTACACCACGGCATCCGACGCTTTGCATTGCACTTGATGTAATGTTTGGATGCAGCTGCTCGGCCATGGAAACCCATTCCATGAAGCTCTCTACACACCGTTGTGCCAATCTTAAGGTCACACGAAGTTTGAAGGTCTGTAGCCATCAACTCTGCAGACAGTTGGCAACTTCTGCGCACTGTGCGCTTCAGCATGCACTGACCCCGATGCCATTTTATGTGGCCTACCACCTTGTGGATGAGTTGCTGTTCCCAGTTGATTCCACTTTGGAATACAACTAAGGCTGGGTTCACACCTAGGCGTATCCAATATGCGCGTTTGTCACGCGTTTCGTGACGCACGTTTTTACTGCGATCCATGGTAAAAAACGTGCGACAAACACGCGTTTCCAAGGGCTACTTGGCTGTATCCCAATGGAAACGCGCGACAAAAACACCCCAAAGAAGCTCCTGTAGTTCTTTGGGCGTAGGGCGTTTTGTAGGGCCTGTAAAACGCCCAGGTGTGAACCATACCCATAGGAAATAATGGGATTTCGGTGTTTGAGCGTTTAGCAGAGCGTTCGAACGAGTCTGATAAACCTCTATATTTTAGGGGCCTGCAGTCATGCAGGTTTAACACCCTGACTGACTAGCCCTTAGGACTACAGCCCCAGGCAATCTGGGATAGCTCATGGGGACTGTTTGAGGAGCCTAAAAAATCCATAAACCACATTCACCCAGAACCGTTTGGACAGGTTAGATGCTCCTGAGGCGCAAAGATCTAAATCAGGTTGAACCAAACCCAAGGAGTCCCCAGAACATCCACTACTATGGGTAGATGTAAAATATATCACCAGCACACCAAAGTAAAATCTTCCAACGAGTGGTTATATTTCTGATGTACATACATCTTGCCACAAAATATCAAAGGTGATACACCTAATGCGTTAACCTGGTCGCTAAAAAGAAAAAACCTACTCTACTTGTTAAACATTAAGGAACCAGAGCTACAGTAGACTAGGCTCCTAGACGGGGCAACTTCCTGACTTAAAGCAGCAGCTATTCTGCCTTTCTCCCAGTCAGCTAAGTAGGGTGTTGGGGACCAAGCCTTTCTTCCTCTTTCTGGGCATATCTACAAATGGATACTAGCATATGTACCACAGGCCCAGGACCCAAACAGCACCCTGCGGCTAACTCATCACGTTGAACTGCCAAAGTGAGCGCCTAACAAAGGATCAAGCTGGCCTGTGAAGTGCTCAAAGCAACATCACAGGCCAGCTATGCATCTTCTTCCTGGCAGAGTAAGATCCCCGCAGGCACAGCTGAGTCAACTAATTTGGAACCTGCAAAAAGAAGCCACAGTGGCCATGTATTAGCTGAGAATCTTGCTAGAGGAAAATCTTGATAAAAATTAGCGGTTTGTCTCTCTCAAAATAGAGACGTCAGTTCCCCCTAAGGACATTAGCAAAAAAAAAACATGCTTGCTGCAAGTGGGAAGGTTTATATAGGGCTGTTCTTACAGCTTTGCTTTTTCTAGTAATGCAAGATTAAGAAATAGATTCTACAGCCAGCACAAACATTGTATCTTTTTAACAAATGAAAAGAACTATGGGGTAAAATGTTTATCCTATAGTTCTCTTTAGGGTCCCGGGAGGACATATACAAACTTCCTTCAGTGACCTAAAGCGCAGTATATAGTGGGCTACTGCCCTCTATATACTGGGCATGCCACAGTCGGGACAGATCCCCACAATACTGTCGAGATCCACCTAGCTGGCGGATTCACAGCGGGCCCCATCCAGAGGCAGAGCAACCTACCCTCCCTGTTCATTCCTCCAGTTAGTGCGGAAGGACCAGAGAGGGGAAGGGGAAGGACCAGAGAGGGGAAGGGGAAGGACCAGAGAGGGGAAGGGGAAGGACCAGAGAGGGGAAGGGGAAGGACCAGAGAGGGGAAGGGGAGGATCCCTGCACTATCCCTGATAGTCACGGCTCTCTGCAGGGAGATTAATTGGGAAGTTATGCGAGCAACGGTAGGTGTTTGCTCACTCACCGATCTAGAGTCGATGTGTGACAGTTTCAAGGTCAATGTGGAGCCATTAGACATCAGTCTCTCTCTCTAATTAGTATTTAATCAGATCATGACCATGGATTAAATGGTCTAAAAAATTTCAGTTCTTCACACAAATAGTATCATACCAGCGGTGGTTGGCTTCCTGCCATGTTAATTGGCCTTGGACCTCCTTGAACAGGATTGTGGGACTGAGTAGTTGTGGCTCCTATAGAGGAAGGCACAGGAGCTTCACCCAGTTCTGCCATGAGAGAGAGATATTCTTTATCCATCCTTGCTTTATCCTGGGCAGACTGAGGTTCTCCAGGTCGCACCTGAACACTAAAATAACAGCAGTAGTAGGGTAAATAACTTTCTAAATACTAATACATTCTATTTCTTGACACAATAAAATTTTCAAATGGTATTTGTAACAAATATTTCAGATATAAGATGAAATTCAGGCCAAACATTGTCTAAATACAGATTTAAGCCTAAATTCCTAGTAAAGAAAAATCACAGAAAAGCATAACATCTGTTTTACCTACCAAGGATCTGTATTTCTGTCTATCCAGTCAAGAGATTTACACAGCCCAATATCCACACAGATAAAACTACTTACAATTTAGGAATAGTGGTGTCCTTTCTCCATTCCCAGCCTGGTGACTAGATAATGAAAAACAGGAGCACGCTAAAAAGGACATGTATCTGCCCTCTCCTACCAAATTTGAGTTTAGTACAGCTATGTAGTGGCTGCATACGTTTCAGGCCAAGTACATTTTCTACAAATTAGGGATACCTGTTCCTCTTGCCAGAAATCCCATGTGCATGTAAACACCTGATCAATTAACAGATCTCAAACAATGTTATCAGCTTTCTTAAATGTCTTCTGTGAACTACAAAACACAGCCTCCCCAGTAATGGAGATAAGATGTGCTTGTAGTCCAAACCAGGAAAGCAGCACAGAGCAGCAATGCTTTTTAGTGCCGTGAGTATTGTCTCTAGTACATATTACATAGTAGATTGTTAATGGCAGGATCAGATGAAAATAAAAAGGAAAAAAAATTAGAAAAGGAAACAAACGAGACACCACATCAAATGATAATCATGTGTTACATTAGTATTGATTAAATATGATTTAAAGTATTTCCATTGGTTGCATTTAAATAGATTCAGGAATAAATGCAGAGCTGCATTACTTTGTCTTCTATCTACCTGGAGTTACCTTCTAAGGCTTCAGTCTAATCACTGACCCAGTACAAGTCTGCAGATAAGGCTAGTCAGTGAAATTAAAACTGTTGCCTTATAGGTCTGTTAGTGACTAAGCCATTTGCATACCAGGTGAGGAAATAGCATTCCATAATTATGGGGGATGTCCTAAAGCAGTTGACAGAAGAGGGGAAGGCTGACCACAAGAACATATGAACCAGAGCCCAAAAACAAACCGAAAAACCTTGTGAAGCTAGCACCCACCAACGCAGACATATTCACCTTCTAAAACTTGAAGGTGGAGGACAAGGGGAAAAAATCCCCATAGGGATGGTAGGAGTCATACATAAAGATGGCAACCAATGTCTGAGTAAATAGAGCATCTTAAGGAAAAAGGAAAGTCACAGCATTAACATCCCTTTATAGTCATAAAGCACTTAAAAAAGGGATACAGTGAAGTCACTCCCAAACCCTCCTGGACAAAGTATTCACAAGGCATGTCACCCTGTGGAAAAGATTCTATTCTTATGCTTACATTCGGTTTTCCATGTCAGACATTTTTGGAGTTGCCATACATGTGCATCTATAACAACCCTTTAAATAAGATTAATGGGACTTTGATTGCTACAGAAGCGCACTAGCTTGTTTTGCTCTTTTCAATCCTGCCCCAAGGTTTCCTGGGGTCTACCTCTAACAACCTCCACCTGCATCACATGATCTGGATGGCACCTTGGTGTGTGGGCCGCTCGCCCTTTGTGTCCAGAAGTAGCCAGTTGGGAAAAACTGTCCCCCAGAAGATCACGCTTAACGGGAGCTGATCTGACAACTAGAAAACAGTTTGTTCAAATCAGGAACCAGACTTCTTTTCATTTGCCAGTGTCCAATCCTCCTGTAGACAGCAGTATACGCCAAAAGAACAGAACTTCCTATGTCCCTCAATAGAGGAAATCTGAATTTTTTTTTTACACTTATTGAGCATTCATAAGAGGACATGCTCTGCTTTTATCACCAAATGAAGTAAATCACTAAGTGCAAGAGTAGAACACTTGGCACACAAAATCAAGAGCCTGGGAGCAAACCGCCCAAAACCCCCTTCACAGTTGTGGACAACTTCTGTCACATGGCATAGCAGTACACTCAAAAAGAAAGTATTTAATTACAGGCAGAAGTCAGAGGGGTGGGTATCATGCATTCCAATAAATGGAGAAAAGGATTTTATGGGGAGTACAATTTAAATGACACAGCTTTGCTTTAGTTAATCACGGACTAGGACATCCCAAAGCAGCCATATAGCCTAAAGCAGGCAAATAGAATGAAAAAACTGCCAAACTGCCACAGGCAAAAACTTTACACCCAAAAAAGTAATTAGCCCACGCTGCCATATCCAACCTGTAAAATGTTGTGAATGTATGAGCTGCCTTACAAACCTGAGAAATTGAGGCTTGTTGGCATAAAACCTAGGATGCACTTACCACCCTGGTAGAGTGTGCATTCATTAGGACAATGGTTTGCCACATCTAGAGTGTGAGATCATAGCAGACAATACTGCAAGGCCCTTGCATGGGCCCTCTACAACCACAAAAATGGAACATGGCATTAAAAAACACCTTTACTGCCCTGACTACACCCGAGTATAAGGCCATTTCCTTAGGGTGGACAGGCGTAGGACCGTGAGGGAACAACATTCGGGTGGAAAGCTGGTGCCACTTTCAGTAAGGAATGTCTTGGACACAGAATTACTTATAATGCACCACATATGGAGGCTTGCAAGAGAACACTGCCAGTTCCGAGACCCTGCATGTCAAAGATGGCCACAAGAAATGCCACTTTCTGAGATAATGTCAGCAGTAGGAACTCTAATGTTCAACAAAACAAAACCACAAATGCTGCCACCAACAGTTATTTTTGCTAAAGACCATAAAGCAGAATTGGTAAACTGGGACTTGAGAATAGCAGTTTTTCTCTTTGTGGCAGACACCATTGAGTGTCCATTTCCATATTAAGTACCAGCTAGGCCAATCAGGAGCCACTAAGGATCTGCGGAATGCCCTCAAACTTTATGTGGAAAAGTAGTCGCAGCAAGTTTCTCCAGCAGATAAAAGCAGAGCATAGCAATCACACAGCTACCAAAACATCCCCCGTCTGCCAAAGGGTCCCTTGCTACAAACCTGCCATTCTTCAAATTGAGACATAACACCAGCAGATGTACATCTGGCATTCCACATTGCTGGCAGATTTCCTAGAAGACTTCTGGGAAAGTACCTAGCCTGCCTGACAGAGGGATTTTGTTGACTGTGTCCGCCTGCCAGTTTTCTACACTTGGCAAGCATACAGCCGACAGAGCCGGCATGTAACTGTCCAATTCCGTTGTCCGACACCTCCAACTCTGCAGCCAGGCATTTGGTCTCCCAAACTGTTTACATATATGTCCCGTGGTGTTTGACTAAATCCGTACAGGATGTCTTCAGATGCGCAGAGGTACAACGACTTCCCAGCTAATAGCGGAGCGTGGGGCCACTAGAACGATAACTGTTAGGTGCCTTACCTTGATCTACCAGTACAATAAGAGGAAATTTGTTCCACAGAACTGCTACAGATCTGGTGCTGCATTGCCTGCTGTCCTGGGTGAAAGGTAATACTGCAAATTGGCAATATTACTCTACTGCAAAGCACAAGAACTTCCGATGCCTCTGGTAAATGGGTACATTAAGGTAGGCATCCTCTATGTCTATGGATGCCAGAGAGACCCCTGATACAGAAAAACTACCAAATGGATCGGCTCCATCTTGAACTTCTGACCTTTTTAAATAAACCTTCAAAGCTTTGAGAGCCAGAACTGGAAGAATTCCACCCTTCTTGGGCACCGTAGAGATTTCAATAAAACCCCTGAAATTTGTATGTGGTAGAAACTGGGGTCAAAACCCCTTGGGTTAGGAATCGCTTGACGGCTGTAGGCCCCCTAACCCCTGCAGAGACACAAGTTGGAGGTGGAAAAGGAGGTTAAGAAATTAAAATTAGGTATCGCAAGGCTATTAGTTTGCAAACTTATTTGACCAACATGTGGGCTAGCCAGTAGTCCACAAACGCCAGAAGTTGTTCCCCCACCTTGATATGGACAAGTAGGGGCAAAACGTTATGAAGAGGAGGTGAGCTTGGACTGCTAGGGACGCATGCCCCCTGCTGATGCAGAGGGCTTAGGGCACTTAGATCCTGTTGGAATTTCCTAATGAGCGAGGAAGAAAAATATAATTCAACTGTACATAGTTGTGTACCTTAAGCCTTAAATTGGCTCCTAGAACTTACCTTGTAAACTTGCAATCCGAAGCAATATGACCAGCTCCTCCACACTTTGTACACAGCGTGGTGTTTGTAATGGTACGTGTTTCAGTACTTTGCCAGGGCCGTAGTATCCTGTAAACAAGTTAACGGCTGTTATCAACTGCAGAGCTAAAATTTTACATTTTAAAATAAATGTATATTACCTATTGTCATCTTCACGCAGAGTACCATTCAGCCGTGCTAACTCACGCAATTGCATCTTGCGAAGGTCATTCTGATCCTCTGGAGTCTCTATACCTTGTTTGAGGATATTCCGAATCTGGAAAGAAGATGCAATAAACAAACCCACAAGAAAAAAATTTAAGTAATCCCATTATTCATACGGGTAAGTTTTCCCAGAAGGGTTCACTTTCCACTAATGGTTATACCAAATTCTTTAAAGGTTCTAACTCTTCCTCACTTTCCAAATGCAACATAGTGAAAGTCTAAGTCTTCAGATTTCAAAACCAAATCTAGAAAACTTGCTTATTCAAAACAATTCTAATGTTTACCTGATCTACAGCTTTCTTGACATTTTCCATAGTATTGGCTGTTACCAAGGCATGAAGTGGCTCATCCTCGCCAGGAAGGGTCTGCCCATCTTTGCGGGCCACCTTTCCCTCTTTCACCGACCCTTTTCCCCGAATCATAATTTTAGCATTACATTCTTTCTCAATATTTTTCAGTGTATTTCCTCTGGAAAAAAAAACAAACTAAGATTTCCAAAAGGAACAAAAATAAAACAATCTCAAAATTGGCACAAAAATTATAACCAATCTCATACCTTGGACCAATCAGCAAACCCACAAAATTGATCTCTGGGTACTCATCCTGGGGAATCATAACCTTATCACTGACTCGTGTAGCAGGTGGTCTGAAAAACAAACAATTGAGATGATAAAGCACTAAAAGCAATGGATGATCAGATAAAGGGAAGCTTTATATGTAAATACTGCAGAATGTAAATATTAAGCCATCTATATGCACAGATAGATAACCAAACTAGTTTCCAAAAAGTTTGAAATCTCCTAAATGTTAAAAATGTATTTCCATTTCTGCAGTCTCAATGGTAAACCCTAATCTGAATACATACATGCAGCAATGTATACTTTGATACTCCCTCTTACCTTCTGTGCAGCTATATGCCCTTTTTAAACATTTATCATAACCACCACTTTTGTCATAGAAGATGGAAAAAAAAACCCAAAACAAAAAACTTAAAGTTTCTAGGTCTAGTTGCCAATTCCTGCTTCTCCCCTGCTGCTGATATCAACAATCAAATAGTATCAAATAGCAAGAGTAGCTGTTAAAATGCAGTTGCTCCTCTGTAAAACATAGCATATAATTTGCAAGTGTCATTGAGTAAATACAAATTGTTACATGCTAGTTACCATTTCATTCATATATAGATCAAAGGTTATATCATGCATGCAATAGTTAAAGCAACACTTCGCACCAAAATTTATGAAAATAGGCTCTACAACATAGTAATTTAATAATGATCTCTTTATGCATGTGGATAACTTCCTGCTAGAAGGTGGCTACTCTTCTTCTCCATGGTCCCTATGGGAGCTGAAACGTAGCAACCCTCTGTGCTTGCTCCCACTGAGAACTACAATGAGACATGACGTTTCAAGCTCCCTCACGTCTCCTCTGCTGACTTCCTCTACTTAAATGGGTGGATATTTCTTGAGCTAGATAAAGAAGCAGCGGTCAACTCACTGAAGTAATCAGGGAAGGGAGAGGGACTTTATGTAGATGGGCACATGTGCAGTGAGAACACTGAGCGCTGTGCATTCTGGAAAATGTAGTGTAGGAGAGCGGCGCACTCTCCCACTACTCATGAACGCCTAATGGAGGAAGCGGGAAATTGCTGAAAAACTGAGCTGCGGGATGCGCCTGGCACACTATATAAAACAAACTAGGTATTTTACATTTTTAAAAACATTATACAATCTACAGAGAATAGCTAGTTTAGACATATCTTATAACTTAATTATAACGCTTGGAACAATATCTAGCATTAAAGGTATACGTAAATATTTGTATTTATTTATATATTTATAATAGCCTGAAAATCCTCATGCAATTGGCCTCTACTTAAGAGGGTGAAGCAGATCTATACTTGAGCCATTTCCCCCAGGTTCCAAAATATTTGTCCAGAACACCTCGATGTTGCGATGCCACCTTCTCAAAGAGTACCAGTCTAATTATTTAAACCATTTACCCCCTTCAATCTATTTTGTTGCACATTTCATTTGCAAAATAACGTGCATGCTTTGTACCAGAAACATTAAATTATAAACTTTACAGGCAAATTATAGAGTTAAATGTATTCTTTTACTCTACTGTAACACTACTTATTTTTAAACAAACATTGGACAAAATCTGGAATAAGATTTCTGTACTAATTGGATACCATTGAGGGACAAAGGAGGTCTTTAACCTTCAAGTTACACTTGCAGCTACAGAAGGATTGGACACTGCAAAATAAACTGCAGGCGAGCCAAGATAATCCCTCCCACTTCTGGCATGCCACAGATTTGTAGCAAAGTAGTACTAGGAACATTTAGTTATTTGTCCATAAAGGACACAGGATGTCTTCAACCTTTGGGACCTCCAAGAGCAGTCCAAATGTGGGGAAAAGAAAAAAAAAATGTAGTTTCCAATCTCTAGGAAAAAAAGAGTTGGAAAAGCAGGAGTAATGGAAAGTCTTTGCAGCCTTCCAGTATAAGCATTACTGGTAGAAGAGGATAATCCTCAAGCTTCAGAGAGGCGAGAGTCTTTCAAAAACCAAAATAGTCTCTTAAATCGGGGAAAAATAGACAAACTCCTCAGGCAATTGGAGCGACAGGGCATTTTTGTGACTGAAGGCTCAGAAGTTGCCAAGGACACGGGTAGATCAGAAAGAATCTGAGAGAGAAGGCGTGCATGCTTGTGGCCAGTCAGCAAATAACTAGGTGATTCAGGCCATACAGTCTAGCATGGCTATAATAAAAATACAAAGGCAGGAGTACAGAGGAACAAGCCACATATGGCGGAGCTAAAGTGTACATTGATGATGGCCTAGACTCTGGAAGTAGAGGGCAACACTATTCTGTGCTGCAGACATTGACACCATCAGTAGGTGTGCGGCAAACAGCCCTGGAGTCCTTAGCAGAAAGAGCTGGGTACAGTGGCACCAGGTACAGTGGGACTCTACACACAGCAAAGCTGAAGAAAAGATGTCCTAGGGAAGTGGCAAAAAACTGAGGCATGCTGGTAGTGGAAGACATTATCCTGGGCTGGCCTACAGTGATTTTGTTTGTGACCAATCCTGCTGCAAGACCACTAGTCCCCCAATAATAAAAAAAACTTTCGTTATTACACCTGTTTATATATTGTATACAAAATACATTTTGCAAGACAGTACTGCTAAGAGAAAGTCTTGCTTGTCCTATAAAGGCTAATGTATGCTTCACTATTATCTTCGATTAGGACAGTTAATCACCAAACAGGCATACTGCAGAAATATAAAAATTGCTCTGGTCCATCAGGGCATTGTTATGCCCTGATGGACTAGAGCAATTTTTATATTTCTGCAATATGCCTGTTTGGTGACAGTTGTGCAAGAGCTGAAGCGGTAAAAAAATGGGTCATATAACCATCCATGCTATTTCATCCTGCTGTACACTACTGGCTGGTGGGAGGAAACCTTTTAAACTGATAACAGAAGCTTCAAATGAGAAATTCAAGAAAACCCATGAAAAGGAATAAGATACTGCTCTCCGATTTCGGTGTCAGAACACCAGCTGTACAGTAAGCTTAATGCTTATGGTACGGCTTAGTGTCACCTGCAAGAAAAGATGCTCCTGGAACATCAGGGCAAAAATTTCAAAGAAATCCGTATCTGAAACTTACAAAGAAAAAGTGTAATTGGTCAAAAGAACACATTGCACAGTGGATAACTAAAAAGCATTACAAGCAGATAGGTCTCTGACATATGGATCAAGAAGTGCTGGATGCCTTTTTGTCAAGCATGGGGGAGAAAATGTAATTAATGATATGGAGCTGCTTTAGTTTTGGAAAGATTGGACTTCCACAGAATGCAAAGAATAACGCAATCTGTTTTTCTCCCGGGCTGTAAAACAAGGCGCCTTGCCTTCATCCAGGATTCCCTCCCCAGTTCCTTTGTGTCTCCAGCTTCTGTTTCCTGTCTCTACCTCGCTTCAGCCAGAACATTTATCTCAGCCCAATTGCTGCCTCCCATTGACAGCTGAAGTGCTCCTCCGTTTATATACCAGCTCCCGCACCATCAGGGGACAAAACTGTTGCATGACGGCCACATTCCAGGAGACCAGCACAGAGAAAGCAGCTGTGAGCATCCCTACACTCAACACTATTAAAGCTCCATTTTACCACATCAAGTGTGAGCGCATTTTATTAGTTACTTAAATATTTTAATTGACCTACACGATGAGGGGTTGGTTCTGTGTTCTTCTCTTCACTGATCATCTCTTCTCCAGAACGGGTTTGTTACAGACTCCTAGAAACACAGTGCTGCTGCCAGCCCTGGATAGATTGTTTCCAAGTAGAAAGTTACTTTGGAAACATTGTGAGTGCAATTCGATTACTTGTTGCATTTTCTCCCTGATATTACATCACTTATTGCGCTGTTTGTTTACAAAGAGGACACCTCTACCTGTTGAGCAGCACACCATGGATGTCTAGTACCCATTATTGTCGCCATTCTACCCTGCCTTCCCCTTTGATGTTATAAGTGCGCTCATCCATAAATATCTAACTTTCCTTGTGAAAAAATGCTGTAAAGAATGCTTTCAGAAATAAAAGGGTAATAGTTTATCTATATCAATTAAAAAAAAATTAAAGTAAATGAACAGAAGAGAAATCCAAATCAATATTTGGTGTGACCACCCTTTGCCTTTAAAAGAGCATCAATTCTTCCAGGTACGCTTGCACACAGTTTAAGAAACTTAACAGGTAGGTTGTTCCAAACATGCTGGAGAACTAACCACAAACCTGTGGACGTAGGCCGCTTCAAATCCTTCTCTATATGTAATCCCAGACAGACTAGATTATCCCAGAGCTCAGTGGGGGCCAGAGCTCAGTGGGGGCCAGAGCTCAGTGGGGGCCAGAGCTCAGTGGGGGCCAGAGCTCAGTGGGGGCCAGAGCTCAGTGGGGGCCAGAGCTCAGTGGGGGCCAGAGCTCTGTGGGGGCCAGAGCTCTGTGGGGGCCAGAGCTCTGTGGGGGCCAGAGCTCTGTGGGGGCCAGAGCTCTGTGGGGGCCAGAGCTCTGTGGGGGCCAGAGCTCTGTGGGGGCCAGAGCATCACTTCAAGGACTCCTTGTTCTTTATGCAGAAGATAGTTCTTAATGACAGCCTAACCCAAGGGTTAGGAATGTCTGGATTTTACCATCAAAATATTAACTTTTTTTATTCTGATAGGTTAAATATTTTGCTCCAGATAATTGATCAGAATGCCCTTGGGGAGGGAGAGGAGATGACAAACTTACCAGCAAGTTTTTTTTTTTTTTTTAAAGTTCTCCAAACCATAGCCGCAGAAGTTTTGAGGCTAAATATTGACACAATCTATTTTCAATCGTATTAGCTATGGAACTATACTGTAAATAAGGTACGTATCAGGTGATTTAAGATAACTTACATTAACCAATTAAATGTCAAATGGTATTTAAAAAAAAAAAACTCACTTGTAGTCGGCAGGTGGCTTAAAGTCTGGATTCAATCCCACCATTTCTGTGATCAGGTTGTGACGCTCCTCTTCCAATTTCTTTCGTGTTCTGAACTCGCGTGTGTTCAGGCGCTTTCCTTCACTATTATAAATGGGTTCAGGAGATGGCGATCTGTATGGAAGGAGAACAAAAAGGTGTAAAAAAAAAAAAATCATTGAAAAAAAAGTGGCTGGAAACATTATATAGCTTTCAGCCTGTATATAAAGCCACCTACAACAGCTTGTTGCGGATATTTTTTTCATACTGTGGCTACATATATCTCCCTCCACTCTTTATCTGCTGGGTGGGTAACCTCTTAAGGATTTGTAAGAAAAACACTTTCAATGTGTACAAAAACCTGTAGGGGCTCTTAGTGTTTGGTCGAAAAACGTGACATTTACAGCATTTTCTCTGTAGCAGTATGGAATATAGCAAGGCATGAATGTTTATGAGTGAACTGGAACATATAAAATCTTTAGTAATGCCAGGATCTAAATTTCTTTTAACAAAATTGACTAGACTACTAGTCTAATACTAGAATAAGTGGTGACTAGCCTATCAATGTACATCTTTTTATTTTAAGCTCATGTTGCAGAACAAAATGAATGCAGTAAAATGGGAAAAACATTTTTTTAAATAATCAAATAATTTTTAAGTTACGGTCTGCAGAGAGCATTCAAGGTTTTTACTGGGCCCATCTACTATATGTGATGCACTGGATCAAAAAGATGAGCTAGTGCAAAACAAAAGAAAATTCACTTTAGCTACTAGAGAGAAAAGTCAGCAGGTTAATTTTGTAAAATGTAATTAAATCTGCCAAATATTCAACTTAGAGGGCTGTTTCAAGGGGAAAAAAAATCATTAGCATTATACAATTTTGCTCACAAACCGTACTTAAGTGGGGCACAATAGTTATATCCTGTTTCATGAAGTACAAAAGCTGTTAACCGTTAAAAATGAAAAAGGTTAACCTTGCCAATACCTGCTTTTCAGGCAAAACACCACAAATTGAGAGAACAGTGTAACGTTAAGTTGTATAAATAACATAGCCGATTTAGGATATTCACCCATAAAATGTGCCTTTATCGACACTTATATTGAAGTCAAATGGAAAGGCTGCTAAAGACATTCGAAAGAGAAGTTTCATTGAGAAGAAAGTGGTTATTGGTTAAGATATCAGTTGTAGGTGACTAGCAAAGCAAGCTACTGCTAAATATTACAGTGATAAATGGCATATCACATATTTTGGACCATATGTAAAACTTTTTTGCTATATTAAATAGGGCCAGTGACAAGGACATACACAACACTTTGATTACATGCAAAATCCCACAATTTAACACCTAAAGAAAACAAAATCCACAGAGACTGTCTCACCATTCAAGCTAACTGACATGCACCTGGAAGGCTGTAACACATGGGTGTATTGTTACTAATGCAGAGCCAAGCAAAAAAAAAAAAAAAAAGGGTAGATTACATTTTAACAAGTAATCAGTTAAAGCAAGGCACTACTACTAAATAGTTAGAATTATCCAATCCTTCCTGTAAGAATTTTGTTTACTTCATTTCCTAATTTAAGATGGATGTACATAACCAATTTCAATGAAATGGAGGAAAAATTGGATAAACTTGGGCTCAGCTGCATTTTAGCTTCTCCCAGATTGCAAAAAACTTCAAATCCTAACTTGACAATATTGCACCTACCCAAAAAGATATTCATACATTCATCTGCAAGAGCTTCTAGCACCATGTCTAAAGAATGGAATTTTACTAAAGCTGTAGGAGCAGAAGCCCCAACAATAGCATCCTCCAAACATTAGGAAGGATAAACAAGGCTCTGTATCAGTAAGATGTTCTAGTTCCAATGCTAAGAACCATGAGCTGGCATATACAGATTCATTATGCCCAACAGTGTTTGAAGCTGACAAGTACATATAATAGTAAAATATTTAAATAATCTTGCATAAAAAGTAAATCAACTACAACCCAGTTTAAGAAATAAGACCCAATACCCCCTCCCGTAGTGTGTTTATGCACACAGAATTGATGTATGAAAATCTGAAGAGCTTTACATGCATTTCTGTTTTACGGTGAACTCCAAAAAATAAAAAAATTACTTCTATGCAGCTTACAAATTTCCCAGCTGGGCTGCACGGCACTATCTAGGCTAAGGCTAGCCATACCAGTGCATTACATTTGTGCAATTCAGCAGTCATCAATGTATGTACCACAGTCACTTTCTATACTAACATTTTCAAGATCATGGTTATCCCAATCTGACAAACTAGTTGAAATGTTTTACTTCAATACGCAGGCTTGGCAAACAAAATACCTTTAAGATCAGTTAAGCATAAACATCAAACCAAGATGGTAAAAGACAATTGTATACAGTTGTAAAGAAAGATGTTTGAACCCTTTTAGATACCTTCTGGATTTCTGCATCAAGAAGTTGGAAAGTATGAGCTGATTTTTATCTTAAAGTACCGAGACAAAAAAAGCATTGCCCTGATCTGGCCAACAATTGTCACGTTAGAAAATTGACTAAAAACATGCCCCTTACATGCATGAGAAACAGCTGGAGCTGGGAGTCTTAGGGGAAAAATTGATCGTCCAGCCTAGATTTTTCATGAAGGCAGTTATTACTCTTCAAAAGAGAGGGCAACAGTCAAATGTGTCTAGGCTATGTATGCAAATTCACCCGTCGTGATTGTTTATGTAATGAACGATTAATGCGACACTAAACTCAAGAGTTACATCTTAATACATTCGACTACCTTAATTATCAACAAAAATGTATCTTATTTGTGTATTGTATCACTCGGCTGTAGATCCTCAAATCATCTCCGAATTGGTGCTGACACTGTCCTTCTGGAGGGTGGCTACTTTTGGTCCCATGGTGCTCATGTGTATGGTAAAGTAGCCACCGCTCCAAGCTCACTCCCATGATGGACTACAATCCCAATACAAATGAGTAAACTAAACGTGAGATTGTACTCAATCACGGGAGCGAGCTTGGAGTGGTGGGAACTTTACAACACACAACGGGACTAAGGGGAACAAAAGGTAGCCCCCCCACAGCAGGAAGGACAGTGTCAGCACCAATTCAGAGATTTGAGGATCTACAGCCGAGTGATACACAAATACAGTAAGATACATTTGTTAATAAAGTAGAATAAAAGTCCTTTTTTGGCATATATCTACTGCTAGCAAGCAGTAGAAATATGCCCCATAATTTAAAAATAAAAAAGGCAAATACAAATTACTTACCTGTTCCAGACCCCTGATGTCTCCATAAAGAGGACCTATTATATTTGCTATTACATAGGGGGCTTGTTATCCCCTTTGTAATAGCAATAAAGTAAAATGTAAAAAAAAAATGCAATTTTTTTTATAGTCTCCCACCCCCACACAAAACACATCATGGGTGCAAACCAGAGCAATTCTAGGGCCGTCAATCACGGTTAGACCGTAAAGTTAAAAAATAATAAAAATAACAATTTAAAAAAATAATTTAAACATGTTTTAAAAAATGTTTAGCCTGACCATTTTGTTTGTTTGTCAGAAAATTCCATTTCAGTGCACCTCTAGTGAGCAGGGTATTTAAGGGAGGGGTTGTGGCCCCTAGGGGCTGGCCTCCATTTTTGTTCCCAGTGTCCAATCCTTCTGTAGGTGGCAGCAATACCCACAGATTAATATGAAATGCTGTGTCTCCAAGGGATGAGATATTTTATATAAAAGCAAATATTAACAAATTGGCCTTAGCTTTTATGGGTTAAACAATAGTTTTTCAGTGAATTATCAAGGCTGTAATATGCGATTCAATGGCACATTGAAAATTAGACTTAAGATGAAGATCAGTTCAAGTTTCTGCAGAACACCCAGAAAAGTACTGATGGGTCACACACTTATCAGACAGCTGTATATAAGCCTTAAGGATTTTTTAACCACCTCCGTAGTAAAAAAAACACCTCCGTAGTAAAAAAACGGCCGGCCCGAGCTCTCTAGATCTGAGCGGGCGTCTTTAGACGTCCGCTCAGACACGCCCCCCCGCGCGCGCCGCTCGGCGCGCGAGCGGGAAAGGGCCGGTTTTTAAAAACAGGCAGCGATGCCTGTCACCATACAAGCGATC